GAAAAAATTTCTGTAAAATGTAGATTTGCGAAAAAAATAATTTTGCGTGAAAAGATAGTAAAATGTAAAACTGAAAATCTGTTTTACCAAAATCACAGTCCGCGGAATTAGGGAGGGAAAGATAATGCCCACAAGATGCCCTCGTTTCTCCAGAATGAATATACATCAATAATTATTTTGAACTGGCCAAATAAATAGACTTACCTAGAAATAAATCACGAAATTTGCAACATATATAATAACAATCAGGTACACCAAATTTTTATATAAAGAGCTAGAAAATGTAATTATAAAACAATTATACGTTATATTTTTTGTTCATTATCTTTTACTGCTGAAGTTAGATGAACACAATGGAGTGTCTTTTGAGAAAAATCATAATTGCTATGAGAAACGCAATATGGATATTTACCGATCAGTTCATTATTTTTAACTATTCAATCAGAAAATCCGAAACGTGAGTTTTTGAATACACTGTTGTTTTATTGTAAAATGATAAAATTAAATATTCATATGTGTGTTCATGTGTTCATATGTGATATGCGAAATTATAAATCAACCGGTTCTGAAACATTTTCAGACACAGCTACTTTCCGATTATACAAATTTGAACTATTTGATCAAGGGAAAGATTGGTATGCAGCAAAAAAAGTTTGTACGGATAGAGACAGCTGGCTTGTTGAGATCAAGGATCACGAAACATACGAAGCCGTAAGACATTTAACCAGGTATTCAATATAGAGAAAGTTTACGTACATAAGTAATTTCGTGAAAATATTATAAACAATTTTAAGTTGAGTCTTCACACAACATCATTCATAATTACACTGGGCATATTTACTATTAAACTGTAGATTGAAATAGAATTCACAATTTTTTTAGAGCCGATATCTGGATTGGATTGAACTATCTACCAAAATATAAATGGCTTTGGAATGAAGAGGGTGAATTGAGATTTTCAAAATGGTACGAATACGTATTTATTGATATCCCATGAATCAGAAGTGTGTCAACAATTGCCTGATAGTGGGAGAAAATGAAAAAAATATATATATATCGAAGCAGCGCATTTACCATTGGGGTAAGCAAAGGCCCAATTAATGACCAACGATGATGTTAGAACTTTCGCTCATTATGATATTCATAGAAACTATTAGGCAATAATTTAAAACTGTTTATCTATCAATGTTAGCACGCCTTGCCAATCCACCACGCAGAGAAAACAATAATGTTATTGTTTCAATTCGTTTACTTAAATTGCGTGACTTGAAAAAAACTTCAGGGATATAAAATTTTGTAAAAATCTGTGTATTTTGAAAAAATCATTCAATAATATTAGCTTGAATAGTTTTAACGGTCCATATGCAACGGTAAAAAAACATGATATAATGCTCAGTGGTGATATCGAAAAACGATATCTGGTAGTGGAGGGCATGATATAAGTATTGAGAAATATACTTGCAAAATAATTCTGCTTTAATTGGTGGATTAAAATGCAGTTTATCGGGCAATTAGATATTTCCTATTCGAAACTTATTGCGGAATTAGTTGTATCTTATGTGTAATTACATTTCATTTCAGCAAAATTAAGCTCTAACTTTTGCAGGAATGGTATAAGCCCATTAACATACCGAATAATCTTTAACAACCAGTGCGTTCGTCAGATTGCTTCAACAGGATTGTGGCGCAATAACGATTGCAAATATGGACATAAATATGTTTGTCAGTCAGGTTGGATTGTATTCTGTAATATTAAAGTTCGATTTCCATTACTAAATAAAGTCATCGCTAAAAGTTTCATAATAGCTGACTTACGAGGTGCAACTAAAATCCATAAGTGAATGTGATAAATTTCTTGTTGAAAAAAAATGCTGTGCGAGGTCTGATTGAGTTTTTTGGCGATAGGGGGTTCAATTGCAGAATGACGATTGAGCAAAGAATTAACATTAAATTTATGAAATAATATGAGATGGATTAATAATGGAGGAACAAAGCTACGTGATTATATTTGTGATATACCAGGTATACCTAATGGAATTAAAAACAATCTTATCATATTGTGACCCTTCAAAGCAAAAATGTGGTAAATTGTGGTAAAAATAGGCACGTGGAACAATACGCATAGGTTTTAGGTTAATGAAACTCACGATTTTTAGAATATAGTGTATATTAGGGGCCACAACAAGCACAATTTACTGATAGTAATACTGAATCTTATTAAAATTATGAATCGGTGAAATAACGATACATACATACGACAACAGTTGGCGACACCTGAGCATGAGTTTAGTAAAACTACTAATTGAAGCCTCATATGAATAATAGCGATGCCAAACATTCTGATTTTCTTTGACAACATTTTCCCTGTCTTTATATCAACCTTTACTGTTTCACAAGTCATTCGGCTTGTGGAACCTGGATGGAACTGAAATGCTGTATTTGCTAAAAAAAAAATAATACTTCACAATTAGAAAATAATATATACAACAGCAATGATGTTGATTCTGAAGGCATTTCTTCTCATGTTATTTACTCTACGTTGCTTATCAAATGTTTCACGTCAACACGATTAACTTTTCAATTTTTGTAGTTTTCGATCGATGTTCAACCGATGTATGTGACAATGGCGGAACCTGCAATCTGATTGGCTGTCAATCAAACTGTAGGTGTACTCCAGGTTACTTTGGAGAATTTTGCACCAGCGGCAAGTGTGAATACGTATATTACGAATTACTCATTTTTATAGTGTTAAGAGTGACAAAGTAAAAATTAATAATATTATTTGCATACCACCCAATTTTTTTTTTCCTTTAAATGCAAGCATAATCTAAACACTTGATTTTCCAACTATAATGTGTCTCGAAAAGTTCAAGAACTGCGAATTCTGTAATACTGACAACAATTTTCAGAAAAGAAACAATTTGGCATTTTTTTTAATATTAAATATGCCATATAGCGAGATAGTAATGAAAAAGTAAAAAAGGGGAATTATACGTCGATACGAATTTATTTTGGGTATTAAAAATAATAAGTCAAAAATTCAACATAATACAAAATAAAGTATGAAAAATATTTAAAAACATAAATCTAATTTTTTTTTTAACGAAACAGAATCAATATCGATTTTACCAACGGAAACAAATTATACAAGATTCGTTGGACAAAGTGTCTCAGTTGATTTAACGATTTTGAGCTATGACGGACCAGTAAAGATTAAAGTTTTTACAAATGATGATTTTGCAACATCAGTTGCGACAAAATCCAACGTAACAGGCACTGTTAGTTTTACATTTGGTCCATTGGGACCAGGAAGAGAAAAATTAACTTACAACTTTCGTGCGAAACCTGAATCGAGTTCTCATGGTTATTACAAAACTACTTCGGTTACCATTTTACTCAAAGGTGAGTTGTTATTACAATCTATTTATATAAGTTGCTGTTTTTTTAGGTGAATTAGTTTTGCGTCATATTCATAAGCCTGTTATGATAAAACAAATAAATCCCACGCCACAATTTTATTATAAAAGCATATATACCTGATAGAAATATTACCTTCATTATAAGTATAGATGACATACTCCTCAAAACATCTCAATTTTTAATTTATTATTGCGAATTTATTCACTACTTAAATTATAACTGTTCTAGTATTTTTTATATTATTTGTATATAATGTATTCTTTATATTAAATCGACGGCTGAGACCTATGACAGTATTTCAAGGTGATTTGAAATTCAGATTTTTATTGCTAATCTCTTATTCAGGAAAATTACAACTCATTAACTGGAACGTATCAAACAATGAAGATTTGCTATCATGTACGTTTGAAGGGTATCCTGCTCCCAAAGTATATTGGGAATATCGATACAACTCAAAATTGAGAAATATAAATGAGAACATCGTCGGTTCCATATTTCAAACTTCCAATTTTATCAATTCTACTAATAACCTTGTTCAGACGACAGGAATCTTACGCATAAGTTTGGTTAAATTTCTTGAAACAACTGAAGTGCACTGTTTTGCCCAAAATGACTACGAAACGTCAGCAGTTCATGAAATTCTGATAAATAACGGTAAGTCATCCATTTTATCATGATATAACTCGCAACAAATCGTTTGTTAATACATTTTTCTTTGCAGCTGCGATACAACATTCATACATACCCTTTTCATTTTTTAAGGCTTTACGTATTCAAATGTGTGGATGAAATAATATTATCATTCATGTGACGATATTGCAACATTTGAAAAATTTTCGAACTATCGCAATCATTCATAGAAATGCAATCGCTGCTTTAAAGTACAACATTAATTTCTGTTCTTTCATTTACAGATGTAGTTTTTGAAAATAACATGATTTATCGAATATTCTGGAAACAAAAAGACAGGCGAACCTACTACAAGGCAAAGGAATTATGTCATTCTTCTGGTGGGAACTTAGTGACGATTTCAAATGATCATACTCAAAATGTATTATCAAAAAAGTTACAGAACATTGGCGTTGATGTGGACAGTTAGCTACACTTTTTTGTGAATAAAATATAAAATACTACAGCTCGAATGATTCATATAACAAAATAAATATCTGCGATTATCATACGTGCTTATTTGTCGTCGAGTAGTATTTAGACACCAGAAATGTTATTTACATATCTTTCAGCTTTAAATATTGACTGATACAAACAATTTATATCGACAGTTCATAAACATATCAATATATTTGTAGAATTCACTGTTCATCTAATTTTGCTTTTTTGAAAATGAAATAAATATCTATGAATTCAGTAACAATTACTGCACTGTGATTATAGTACGAGTTAGGTTTGAATAAAGGTTTGCCTTCTGATTTTGTTGATATGTTGTTCAGTTTACATCGGCGCAACCAGGAAAATTCAAGAACGAAAAATCGAATGGAAATGGCAGAATGGATTTGCATTCTACGATGAAACAAAAAATGGAAAGTAGGAACATTTTTGCATTTTAAAATATAATATTTGTGGACATAGTGAGCTTGATCGAATTCATTACAGATATCCTAAAAAGAATAGTCGCAATGAAAACACCAACTGAATATAATATAACAAAGATAATTGCTGAGGTAGCAAAAACAAGACTCAAAATTGATATGACAACAACGGATCAAATAGAAAATTTGGTACAAATGGATGAGAAAGACCAAAATGAAACGTCCTGATGGCCCTCACAATTTTACAATGGAATTCTAGAAGCATCAAAAATAAAATTTCAGAATTAGTTCATTTTATATACCATACACATCAAATACCAGATATAATTTGCTTACAAGAGACATGGTTGAATCCAAAAGACGAAAAAGACATACCAGGATACCAAATTTATAGGAAAGACAGGCTCAGAAGAAGGGGAGGAGGATGCTTAATAGCAGTGAAAACTTCTTTATCATTCCAAAGAATACAGGTTACGACAACGCAAATTGAAATTCAGGCAATAGAAATTAATGGATTTTATTTGTTCAATGTATACAACCCTGGAGTAAATATCACACAGGAGGTTTTGAATGAAATTCCTAATATACACAGACAAAAAGTAATCATATGTGGAGAGTTCAATGCCCAAAACACTATTTGGCATTGTTCACAGACAAATTCAAGAGGACAGGTTCTACAGTCATTCATTGAAAGCCATGAATTAGTTATTTTAAATGATGAAATGCCTACAAGAGTGGGAAATAGGAATGAAAGCTCTGTCATTGATTTATGCATAACAACGAAAGACATTGCCCACTTATGCATAATGGAGATATTACATGAAAATTAAGCAAGTGACCATAATTTAATCTGGATGTCATTGAACTCATATAAAAACACCTCAAAGGCAACAAGGCAACCATACATCTCGACTAAAAGAACAGACTGGGAAAAATATAAAATTGAAAGCTTCAATCACATAAATGGTTCAACAATAAACGATGACGTTGAACTTTTTAATACAAACCTGTGTCAGGGCATAATTCTCAGCGTCACATCATGTACTCCACAAAATGTGATTGCTTTATCGAAAAATGCAATACCATGGTGGAATAAAATTTGCAGCAAGGCTGTAAAAGAAAAAAAGAAAGCATATAGGAAACTAAAAAGAAGTTCTCTACCCCAAGACCTAGTGGCATTTAACAAGGCGGTAGCAACATCAAAAAAGTAATACTACAGCAAAAGAGGGAATACTGGGAACAAACTCAAATAAAGTGGGATACCAAAACAAATCCAAAAATTGTTTGGAATACTATAAAGAAAATGAAGGGGAATATACAAAACAATGACTATAAACTAAAATCCGGAAATAGGGAGAAGCAAACAACAAGGAAAAAGCTGATGTACTTGCCAGAGTGTTTGCCCAAACCATGTGTTCAGACAGTCAAGATGATGTATATAACACAAATAAAAATATTCGCCAACAGTATTACAACCAAGTTAAAATGGAAATTCAACAAAGCACAAACCCAACTATGTCATCATATAATAGACGAATAACAATACATGATCTAGAGAGGGCATTGAAAGATTGTAAAGATGATACTACCCCAGGGGAAGATCAGGTTACATACAAGATGATCAAAAAACTTCCAGGACCATGCAAAGGAATAGTCCCTAACTTATTTAACAACATCTGGGATACCGGACAAATACCAGTAGCATGGAAGTAGCATGGAAGCACTCAATCATGATACCAATCCATAAAACAGGTAAACAGAAATCAGACCCAGACTCATACAGGCCTATTTCTCTAACCTCTTGCTTATGTAAAATTATGGAAAAAATTGTTGGCAACAGACTGATGAAATATTTAGAATTGAATGAAAAACTCAACAATATTCAAAGTGCTTTTCGCAAACAAAGATCCACACTTGATACACTTATTACCCTTCAAGATACAATCACAAAATCTTTTCAAACAAGACAAGCAACTTTAGCTGTATTTCTTGACTTTAATAAAGCTTATGACATTGTATGCCAGCATGGACTAATAGGAAAAATAGCAGACATGGGAATAAATGGAAAAATGTTCAACTTTTTTGACAATATTTTAGAAAACCGATTATTCTGTGTTAGAGTTGAAGACAAGTTATCTGATACATACCATCCGATACGAGGACTTAGTCAAGGTTCAATTCTGTCTCCGTATTTCTATCTCATTTTTGTAGATGATCTTCCATCAACTTTACGACATGATTGTGGACAGTTTGCTGATGATTTTGGGATATACAAAACAGGAAGAAATATTGAACTTTTGGAACGTAGCGTTCAATCAAATCTGAAAAAAATAGAAGAATGGTGTATCACATTGGGTATGAAAATATCTCCTAGTTAATGTTCAGCTGTGTTATTTAGCAACAAAAGAAGAAATCCAGAAATTAAGTTACAAATTGGAGGAGTAAATATACCAATACTTGACAAAGTAAAATATTTGGGCATGATATTTGATAAGAAAATGACATGGAAAGAACATAGAAAATATCGTAACAAAAGCAGCGCAGAGATTGAATATTTTGAAATATGTTAGTGGTTCCAAATGGGGATCACAATTACACACAATGCTACTATTAAACCGCTCCTTAATTCGCTCGTTGTTTGATTATGGAACCCAAATCTATAGCACAGCATCAAAAACATTGCTAACAAAATTGGAAACAATACAAAATCAAGCCCTTCGCATTTGCATTGGAGCTGGCATTAAGAAGAAAACAATTATGCTTGAATTACCGATTAAAATTACAAAACTCGGTTCAACTTACCTCAGCAAAAGTACTCGAAGAATCCTGGCAACGTGAATATGTGAGAGATAAATTTGTATCATTCAAAACTATAACAGAGCTTGAAGAAAATGACTTGTCAAAACCTGAAAATAAAGACCAAATAAAACATTATATACAAGAAAGATGGAATATACAATATAAACAAAACATATCAGGACTATACTATAAAAGAATATTTCCGGGAATATTACCAAATTACTCGAAAAAAATAAAAGAATCAAGAATACAAACAAGAAATATTTTTAGACTTCAAACAGGACATGGTATGCTAAATAAACATCTTTCGAAATTCAATAAAAATGTAGATGAAATATGCGACCAATGCAACAGGGAAGTTGAAGACACTGAACATTTTTTAATACACTGTCCAAAATATGAACAATATCGAACCAGTATTCGAAATCTTTGCAGAAAAAAAAATGTACCATTTACATGTGAAAACATACTATATAAGGTGAAATTTAAAAATGCCATAAATTGGTTCATCATTCAAACTGGAAGAAAACTTTGAACACATTACAAAATACTATACTTACCAATCTGAGAATCAAAACAAAACTGAAGCACAACCGAGTTGTTGACAAGCAGGTTCACGCCATGACGCCAAAAAATGGCTGTAGCGAATTGGTAAAGTGTGTGCAATTTTACTGCAATAGAATAGTGCAAAGAGCATATATATATATGTTCATTGAATAGTGTGAAGTGTTTTTTCACAACATTTTTGTGACAGATTTTCCATTGTTTAGCACGAAATGCTATTTTGCAAAGTGCTTTTTAAAGAAAAAAAAAAAAAAAAGTGTTACAAAAGTAAAAATTGAAATCTTGATTTGAGCCCGTAAAATGTATTTATCCGCTTTCGTCCTTTCGAACGACTATTGTTAGAAGCGATTGTCTATAAAAATGTCATTACATTTAAATACAAACTTCTGTTTAAATATTGATTTTGTTGTAGAATATCATTGAATAAATCTTAAAATTCAGAACAAAACAAGTCATGAGTTTATTGCTGCTTGAACAATAGTCGTAGGAACGAAACTTGGTTGAAATGTTCTTGATTTGTTGACTGATGGTACATTGCTATATATCGCCTGATGAGAACAGAAGGGGCCTAAGTCGCAATTTTGGTAAATTTGGCAATATTTTGGGGTTTGAGCCATGCTCTACAAGGGGGTGATCTTGAAATCCTGAATTTCTCAATAATAAAAATTTTAGCTGAACTTAGGACTATGGTATTTTGTAGAAGTTAAGAACAGACTGGGCCTAAGTTCCAATATTATGGGCATGAACATCAAGAATGAAATGTCCAAAACTTACAATCCTAAGAATTTGTTCAGTGCAACTTAGGCCTAAGTCACCTCGTTTTACCTTGCATCCCATACAAAAAATTTCAGAAGAACAGAATGGGCCAAAATCCTTTATTGGGGTAAAAAAGCAGGAAGGTTTTAAGGCTGAAGTGCCGAAAAATATAGATTACAAAGATATTCTCATTCACATTAAAATAACCAAAATTCCAAATTGTTTTTTGAGTTTTTCTCAAAACTCGAAATTGTGACTTAGGCCTGTTATGTTCTTATACCGCGATATAGCAATTTCGTAAATAACAATGTTTTATGTCTATAAATTCATTATGGAGCTCCGTAAATAATAGTCATCTCTTTACGAACTCCATGACACCAAAAGTTTGAAAATCCCCGACCTAGATTGAGGTAGAAAATTTTTCCAAGAAATTGCCAAATTTTATGCATGTGGTAACATCAAATTAAAATTATTCAGGGTAAGGGTGTGAATGAAAGTTGCGTAAAATCAAAAATCCATACGCGGTTTTTTTCGATTTGTATTAACTATAGCTACCTTTCTTGTTATAAGACAGCATAACGAATTTGAATATGTGAGGATGACTAAATAATAATAAAATTGATATGAATGTATTTGACTTTATCATCTTCTTGTTTCTGATTATTGTCGTGCAGGGGCGAGATCCAAGCGGTAAGTAATATGCGTTTTATTCATTTAAAATAGTCACCCAGTTCATCTTGTCTGTCTTATGATTGACTTTGCCACTACTGGTAAAAGAAGTTGGACTGCAATATGGTACTTTACATGTAACGAGTATTGGTGTTCTACATTCATCTCAAAGCTTAGTTCCCTCTCACAAGCTCCTTTTCTTGGTACAAAGTTTAAATCTTACTACGTTGAGAAGTAAATAAGACCTGATAAAGAATCCAGTTTCAAATGAAGTCTATTGCGATGGTAAGAGATCTTCTAAACGGGCTTGGATTTTGTTAACGGGCAAATCATAAATATTTGTTTATTTTAACGTAATAAGTAAAACAAGCAGTTAAATAACTTTCAAACATTTATGGCAATAGTTGTATTTAATACGTTTTTCTATATGGTAGAACATTTTTTGATATTCGCTATTCAAACTATTGGTTAACACCCAGTTGTTATAGATAAGTACTTTGCTCAATCTGATATTGGTATTTAAGCAAATAAAATCAATATTTTAAAAGATTTTTTTCTACAAGATAAATTTTAAATACAATGGTTGCTACATGTTCAGGTACATCAAATTTTCGAAACTACAGATTAGAAGTATTTCAAGATGGAAAGAGTTATGATGATGCCAAGGCTGTATGTGAAGGAAGAAATGCATGGCTTGTTGAGATGAAAGATGAAGAAACTCAGGTTGCAGTGAGAAAATTGACAACGTACGCATATTGCAATAAGTGTTTTTATACAAATAATACTATTTGAAATTTTGATACCGAAACATCAACAAAATATAATGACCGCCTGTCGCTTGTATATTCAAAACGCGCAATACTTTATTTTTTAGTAGGCACGAATGCTTGTTTGAAGTTTTATATATTAGTCTTGGACATTATTGTTTCTCAACCGTTTAAACAGGACTGATATTGGTTCTTTCCTTAAGACAATATCTTATATAAACTCTATAAAGATATATTATTGGGTACTCCTGAAGTACGCGCACCAAGATATCGCATAACCTAAACCCCAACCTGGTACACAACCTGGGTTCAGGTTGTGCGCCATTTTGGGACGCATATTTCAGGAAGTCGAAAAAAAAATATTTTTTAGAAGTTTGTGTTGTAACAATCTACAATCATGTAGTTATGTGTTATAGGTGAAATAAAACCTTCGATTGTTTTCACAAGATTTTTTATATAATTAATTAAATAATAGATAAAATTGTAGCAAATAAATTTTTCTCAGACAAAATATTTGGATCGGTTTGCATTATGACAGTGGATGGAAATGGAACAACATGGATTCATTGAAATATACAAAATGGCTAGTAATACCATTATATGTTTCCCCTCAATTCAATATGTTTGCACGTTCCACAGATACTTTTTCTTAAACAAATATTTTAATATTTGAACGCCATCTGTACAAAATGATATTTAATAAAATAATGAATGATATACAAACTGCGTGTATATTCTTAATCTAAATTATTATTGTATTAATTATCTTTTGTGACTTTTTCTGCATCATTAAACTATAAAGATATGTAGACTACTATGACGTATATCTATAATAATTTAATCGCAAATATAATACGTACTCGTTTTATTTACATATATATATTATATACGCTAAAAAATGTAAATATTTGTTCAGTGCATTTTCAAAAATGTCGGTTTTACAGTATGTCTGAACAACTTTTTAAATGTCGTAGCAGGTTTTCAACTGTAAAAATTATCTCTATTCCTATGAAACTTTGAGAAAATTTAATTGGTATCGAAAGTAATTCTATTTATCACCGTCAAGCAATTATTCTTCGACAGCTACACTCCTAAATAAAAATGTTGAATCTTTATTTTGAAACAATTGACCGGTGATGTATATTTTCTTCTGAAAATGATCTTTCTGTTCGATAATAAGCTATGTTTCATTGTATTCACATCCCAAAAAACTTTAACGATTCTTAGGATTTTATATCTAAATATAACTTTAGTTAGCTTTTGTGCGAGGTTTTACCAAAGATTTTTCGTTAATTGGTTTTCCTAAATATTGAAATAACTCAACCATATCTGTTTCTCTCGATAATTTTTTTGAAATTGACGACAAGGAACAGTAAATACATTGAAATATTTATTTTTGAAGTTCCAAAATGCATAAATCAAGCAATAAAAACTTGTGTGCAAGTGATAAGATGAAAATTTCTATGAGCAAAAATGTTTTACTCCTTCAGGGCCACCAATTATCCGCGAACTGTTCGCAGCATTAATGATAACTACTGTGGAGCATCCAGAACTTCCGATGGAAAATGGTATAACAGTAACTGCAAAGTCGGGTTGCGGTATGTATGTCAATCAGGTAAGTTAAATTTATCAATCATTTCTTATATTACGCTAGTTCTTTTAAAAATGCCTATTTAAACAATATTTAACGCAGAATACACTCGCAAATGTGAAGCACTTAATACGAAAACTAATATGAATATTCATATAGAACATAATAATATTTGACTGCTAATATATATATATCAGAAATATATGTATTGAGTTGAACGTTCCCTTTGATATTCTTACACTATATTCATATATTGGGTTTCGGAAGGGAACTTCCTTAGTCGTGTTACCGAAAACTGACACCACGCTGTTGAGTAACTTAAAACTCTTATATTTTTATTGCGAAACAAAAATGTATGATAATTTTGGTAATATAATTGGCATTTTTTATAAAAAAAAAAACATTGCAGCAACATTGAAAAACATTCTGATAGGAATAAGTGGATGGATTTATAAAAAACCTATTGGACAATAAAGAAAAGTGGAAGCATGCATAGTAGAGCACACAATGTTCTTATACAATCTGATTTTCTTGATTAAAAATTTTTGTAACGAGGATTGTTTTTCAGCCCCGAATTGATTATTGTATTCAGATTTGACTTGGATCCTCTATAACAGTAATTTGACTATAACAATAATTAGTAGTCCGAAGAAATCTATTGCTGATGCGATATCATCCTGCACTGCCATTGGAAAAAGCTTAGTTTCTATTACAACTATTGCATTAGATTCGTTGTTGACGACAAAGCTATCTCAAAGGTACGTATAGTTGTAGAGGTGATTATTATTAATAATCGAACCCATTTGATTCTGTGTACGCTTGTCACACCTGTTTTTCCTTTGGTATACTTTTTAATAAGTCAATGTAAAAACGTGGTGGAGTTCATATAAAATCTCATTCAACAATCATAACATTGGTAGTTCGTTAGATTCATAGTTCAATAAATATTATATCCAGTTTTTATAAATCACTGTATCTGAATCACTAATTAAGACTCAATATTAAAGCAGTTGACTTCGGAACGAACAGGAAACAAGTGGTAAGAATCGCACAGAACTGAAGTGACATAATTTGGTTCATTTGGTGATTTTTATATTTTTTCCACGCAAAACTGGCAACCTCATTGTTTCCAAATTTTTCATAATAAAATATATATTTAAGTTTTATTTCCTATTAGGTTATTTTCCTATTTGAAATATTTCTTGTATCTCAACACTTATCCACAGAAACTTGGGACATAATACAGTACACATGCCTTTTATTTTTTGGAGATTGATATTTTAGTAAAAATAAAGAATACGTTACAATCTGCTGACAAATAGAATTGTAATCATTCAAGTATCAAGATTCAAATATATTTTTGTGAAAGTATGGTATATTAACTTATTTTTCACTCAAACAAGCGTATGAATAAATGTGTTGAACTTACTCGGAATCTCGCAAACATATCCAAGAGTATTTGACCCGTCATTATTAATCCACTTCATATTATCCCTCGTTGTCGAATAAGAACTTTTAAACAAATATCCATTTCCTTGGCTAATCGAAGACCACAACCACTTGCTATTGGTAATGGGCGTATCGTCAACCCATAGCCAATCGGTATTTGGTTTGTAAGCTCCGATCCAAAATGAAATTGTGCTTCCTTCGCCATATTGATCTATTATTTGACTTTCAACAAAATCTTGTATTGCGTCTGTTTTCATCATCGCGACTGCTCCTCCAAGACTATTGCAAGTTGTATTTGATTCACCAAATGTTTTCTTTTTGTAAAAGTTGACGTGATATTTGCAATTTTTATAAAGGTTGTACGTTGGTTCTGCAAAATAAAATTTGAAACCCAAACTGCCTTTCGTAGATTTTTCAAAACAACTATTTCATATCAATGTTTCACTGATTGCATCAGGATTGTAAATACTAAAAATTGAGTCGAAATAACTATTAAAACTACCAAAATGCAAAATATTTTTTGTATTTAATCTCGAATATGCATCATTTATCACTTCAACGCAATATGAATGTTTATAATAAGGGTATTATATATTATTTACCTTCACACGTAGTTCCATTGTATTCTGGTCGACAAGTGCAATTGTAATATGGCGCTGCAGTCGTATATTGACAGATGGCCCCATTTTTACAAGGTGATGAATCGCAGGCATCTTAAATTAAGTTTATACAAATATTTATTGTCATTCAAACTGTCTCAATTGGAATTGATTTTGATTCTAAAATTTCAACGAAATATTTTGTTAGTAATCTATAAACAAGTTGCATCCTAAAGGCAGTGCAAGTTCTTAATAAAATATGATTTTTTATTGGATTGTAAAAAAGAAAAAAGAAAAAATTGAACAGTTTGTATTTATCATATAATGGAAATTAATACAACCATACCTTCTTATGTTTATAGCAGTTGAATATGCAGATACACAATACACGTGTAAAAAAAATTTCTAACTTTACATATCATGAACACAATAAATGCTTTGTAAAGCAAATAAAGTTTACTTATATGCCTACCATTAACTACCAACGTCAAAGTAACTATTCTTGAGTAAGACGAATTGTTGCTCTGAGGACCAGCTTCAAACTTGTACGAAATAGTTGCCAATGGAACTTCTATGGCAGGGGTTCTCAAACTTTTGGTGTTGCGGAGCCCTTGAAAGGTTGAATATTATTCGCGGAGCCCCAAAATAAATTTTAAAATTGTTACTTTCAGATTATTATTCCCGAGCAAGTTAAAAGTACTTTATTTATTCTAAATGCTGAACCTTTTTTAATAGGGTTAACACAAGTCATAAATAAATCTAAATTTTATACTAAAGCTGTAAATTTGACACTTGACGAACATATTAATAAATTAGGGATCGAATCTTTTCTTTTTTGACATTTTTGGAAGACTTAATTAAAAGGCCGTTAGTAACGTGCGCTATTTCATTTTGTTACAATCGCCGATTTTTTCCGTCAGCATGGCGTGTTTTAAACATCTTTACGCCGCTGTTTATTCTCCCTAAATCAAAAATTTCCCTCGGCATATACATGTATTGTTACACAATGACGACGTTAATTGCTTTTTTGTTCTCGTGGGGAATTATGAGTTCAATGTGAAAAACATGTTATCATATTATAGTCATCGGCGACGAAATGCTAAAAATAATAATCAAAAAAAAGGTAAATCCACAACTCAAATTTCTTGATTGAAAAGCGGCATTCTAAAATATTTAAACTGAAACTTAAAATGGAAGATCACACTTTGGTTTCAGCAGACTCACCTCAGATTGAAAACGCTTCTATAGACATTGTAAATCACAAAATTTGGTGTTATGTTAGGTTTTCATCGTAGTAGCTGCGAAATCGAAACACAGTCAATTGTGCGCGCGATTTACCTTTTTTTTTCATTCTGAAACTACCGACGCAGCCGCGCGCGATCCGCGATGTACCTTTTTTCATTCTGAAACTACCGACGGAGCTGAATGCAATAAAATAATTTTCAATTGTTCGTATTTTCCCCAGACATTGTGATTTTTTAAACAGCGATATCTTGCTTAAAAATAATCTCAAGTGCGAAAGAACAAATCAAGTTTGACAAATCCCAAGATCGCAAAAATACGACACCAATTTATTTATAGTTGGCAGTTTATCACATATTTTATGTTATTTTAGAATAGTATTCTTTCATTTTAGTAATCCTAATAGTAATCTCGAATCAAACGTGAGTAACGATGAGCACAACTACATTATACGGACGAGACACGTCAAATGCTCCATCGGTCTTGGATTGAATATTTTACGCAACAGAAATCTCGTTATCCGTTTTTTTAATCGCGAAAAATGTTGCGCGGAAATTTCCGATTCCAATTTTGAACCACCTCCCTCTTAAGAATCCTGGCTGCGCTACTGCTCATAAATAATGTCATTTTTTAATTCCGGCCCTTTACCATATTTCGAGGCTATATTGTTGTCAGATGTTATCAAAGCTGTTATTGCTTCTTTGAACAGTTACAAAATTTTGAGTCAGTATTTTGAAGAGTAATCGAATAGCTCGCGGAGCCCCTGGGTTTCTCTCGCGGAGCCCTGGGGCTCCGTACGGAGCACTTTGAGAACCTATGTTCTATGGGACCAATGTTGATTGTCAATGTTGTTGAAGGATTGCTGCTACTGATAACGCTGGTGGTAACGGTTTTAATTTTTACGTCATTCTGGTTTCTAACATCAACATTAGCGTTTCCATCATAGGATTCAATGTTGAGTTGAACATCGATGCTTTCGCCTCTGTTCACACTTCTTGTTGTAGGTGTCGCAGAGATTGTTATAAGATCTAGACAATACGAAAAACGAATCCGCGATAAAATTTCGTTAAGATGAAATCTTATTTTCATGTCTTTAGCAATTCAGACTATTTGATTCTATATAATATATACCTAACAAATTTACGACTTATGACTTTCAATGATTAGTATCAAAGTTTGGAAAACAAAATTGAATAATATCATATTATTACGGTAATTCATTTATTCACATAAAATCTTGCCTTTTTCACATTTTGTTCCAAAATACCCTGCATTGCATGTACATGTATACCGTGGGTTTTCAATCTTACAGCTCCCTTTTTTTAGGCACACATCACTACCACAGTTTCCAGATGACACACCTAAGAATATATATAATTATGGATCGTATATAATATTTGTATGTACAAACCTTCAACGAACAACTCATAACTCCTTGCAATATTACATTATTTACGATGTTCATTTTTATATACACTGTTAAAAATTTTCGTAGCTTCAACAAGGAAATGGCAGTTAAATATACATTTCACTTCCCTGTTTTTGTGGCGCCGTAAAATATACTGGGGATTCCTGGAAGAACGATGGAATTTCACTGTACGTCATCTCTTTTGCTTTTCTATTGGCTACTGTATTCTCTCGTTTTTAAACAAACCAATCACAGACGCTTATTTTCTCGCGCCAAAACGTATGCGGCAAGCGATAAAGCGACTGACTGTCACGAACCGCGATCCGCCATTGACCACGAAGGCGAGTTCTTCTGTTTCATTGAGGAAGTTGATCAATGTAGGAGATTTGAGTTATACTGATGGGTAGGCGATACCAGTATATTACCGAACTATGTGATAGCTATATAATGTCAGAAAGTTAAGATGACATATAGGCCTTAAATGGTTTATCAACAACTTGTCAGAAATCTTTTCAAACTTCTAGAATGATTGTCAAGCATGTTAATTAGATTATTAGAGCATGTTACAATTAGAGTAGACCTATAAGAAATCAGTAAAAGATACTGTTATTGCGGGAGATACTCTATGATGAAAGCATCACACGGAACACAGACTTGATATCAATACTGTAACAATTTGCCGATTGCAGACATTCAGACAGGGTGGCCCTTCCTATTTTAGAGTGGATTTCTAGATGAACATTTCACCTACAAGGCAGGGCAGAATGAGTTGCTCAATAATATCGACGAAAAATCGATCAATGTCTGCAGGTAAGTGTTACCAATAATGCATGTCTACGTAGTGGATTACAGAGAGAAGTGCTTTTACCATATGTACAGTAATAAACAAAAAAATCAAGTGAGACACTCACAAAGCATATAACTTCTATATTATGTTTCCTAAATCTCTAATATTACCATTAATGAACTTGCCAATTGTGCTAGCTTCGGCCAAATTTGAGCAATGATGAATAAGACCTGTTTTGAATTTATCTCTCACGTGCTCGTTCGCAAGTAGAATTATGATTCCTCATGGTATACACTCGAGACTCATTTCTTGCTGTTCACACTGTGGTTTTCCTTTTCATTAAGCAACACGATCCACCATCTTATCGTGATGTTTGTCAATAGCACTGCGTTGTAAGTCTCTTTAAATATGTAGGCTTTGAGTTTGAGCTAAGTACACTTTCCTTTTTACAGGCTTCTTATTATGTGTCTATTGAGAGGATAATATTGGCAACAGTGAAGGATTTTTCAATGGAATACCATTCATGTCATATTTTTGCCTTTGGTGTACCCAAAGAAGACTGCTGTCGTTCTTGAGTTCATTCAAAGGTAGGTTGAAACAACTTCTATTGAGCATTTTATGACAACTCAATGGTGGTAAGTAAATATATTTTTTGCATACAACTACTCAGATTCTAACTTGACTGCTGTGGAGGATTATTAGTTGTACTGAATAGCAAGCATTATACTAGAACTTTATATGGAGTTAAAAAACAGACCAGATGTGCGTGTTTCTCTAACTCTGGGATTTCCCTAAAATCTTTTTTTTTTGTAGAAAATTGTTTGAAAACTTTCATTGTAATGGTCTGGTGCAATTCCTTTCTAGAGTTTTGATATTTCATAGTTATATTCTTTGTATTCTATGTAAGACATCTTGAATCAAAAAAAATCAAAATCGATCGAACAAGTTGTATTTTTCTAGATTTTGAACTATAGTCCAAGTAGATTTCACAAGTAAGTCCTCATATGCAGTCACCCATTCTTCGCTCCTAGTACTGTCATTTGTGAAGGACGTTAACGTATTCAAGATGCATATTGAATTTGTGAACGTCCATTATCAATGGCGGTACAATGAGCGAGAGATGGGTGACTATGTATATTAGGACCTCAATCGACTTGTTGGAATTTTGTTTTTGATTAATTTTCAGTCTTTTTGTTTGCCAAAAAGTTATTCAACATATTTTGGTATTGAATTATTCAAGATATTTACTTAGAATGCAACGAATACGGCTCTGGAGTATCAAAACGCTAGAAAATCGCTCCAGACTATATTAAAATGAAAATTTTGGGCTGTTTTTTGTTAAAATATTATTATTATTATTTTATATTAGTACCTCAATCGACTTGTTGGAAATTTTTTTTTTTGATTAATTTTCAGTCTTTTTGCTTGCCAAAAAGTTATTTAACATATTTTGGTATTGAATTATTTAAGATATTTACTTAGAATGCAACGAATACGGCTATGGAGTATCAAAACACTAGAAAATCGCTTCAGACTATATTAAACTAAAAATTTTTGGCTGTTTTTGGTAAAATTTTCCACGAAAACCTGATTTTGGGAAATCCACTAATTTTAAAATCAAACTTGATTAATATAATGTACTGTTCTTCAGATTTGGACCGTAACCAATTGGAAGCCGAAAACAATATATTTTTGGGGGGGTGGGGGTCAAATATTAGGATTTCTAGCTTGAGTTCATGGTCGTATTAGGAAATTGTCTTAAGTCTTGGCGCATGCTGAGAAATTTGTTATTTCGATGACATATATAGTGATGGAAAATATGCTTAAGAATCACTTAAAAACATATTGAAAGTTTTGGGGTCGTTACCACTCCCCCTGTTTGTGCCTGTGATTTTTATGTTCAATTTTTTGGTGATTCGTTTTTGAGAATAAACTTCTCTAAGTTTGTTTTAGTTGATCTGTCATAAGATTGGGTGTTACTTAGAGAATACACGGAATTCCAAGTTTAAATTGCTGCCACGGAATTCCATGTAACTGAATATACAGGGAAATTCTATCACGCATTTTACACGAACATCCATGTCAAGTATACATGCAAGTCGTGTACTTTCTACAGGGAAAAACAGGTCGGTTTCACTTGGAATTAAGGTGATATCAACTCGGAAAGTCAGATAAATATTACCGGGAATTCCCTGCAATTTGGGCTGTGAAAACGGGATTGTCCTGTAATTTTTACAAGGCAAATTGAGTAATTTTAAGCGGAAAATACCATAAAAATTGCTGTCATGGAATTCCATGTCAAAATTTTTAACAGTGTATAAAGGATTTCAAACAAATGTCAGTGGTAAATGGATTATGTAATATTTTCAAGTGGCCTAAGTACATTGCTAATTTGCTATTATATTATAATATGAAATTATACATAGTATTTTTCTGCTGCGGGATTGTGAGAATGGAAGTCGTAATCACACATATTGAATTTTATATGAAAGTATACGTGCATAGTATGTCTTATGGAATATCTTCAGTTGGTTTCTTTTTACATCGGAAAATATTGCTTCAAAAATCAAATTATTGACAATAAGTGTAACATCCAGTGTAACATTATCCGACGATATATGTTTATTAGAGATTTTTCATTTACTTACATGTATTATCAAAATAAAATCCAACTTTTTTATCAGCAGTATATAATTGAGATAATTTGCTTAATATTTTAAATATGTTTTTTAAATCTGTGGATTATAAAAATTGACCTCAATTTAGGTAATAAAGTTTCATTACTCACTTTTCTGACAGATATAACCAGCTTCTGTTGAACATCTTCCATCAATCCATTTATAACTTGCCCCGGCATATTTCATCAAACAGTTTTCATTTGTTCCCCCATTTGGCTCGTTTCCCCAGTCTTTCCTCCTCATCCTAGACTCGCAAAATGAAAGATTATAAGATATACTCGTGTATTCTACAAGAAACGTGCAAAATAAATTTGCCAGTATTAATGTGAAGTATAAAAGCTCAAAGTAAATTTCAGCAATAACTTTCATACTATTTTAAGACTTGAATTTATGTGGCATCGTAGTTAAATTCGACAATTTATTTCAAAAAAGCGCAAATCCTTATGCAACTATTATTTCGAAAATTATTATTATTATTTTGAAATACTGGAGACATTGATATTTTATATAAATATATTTATTTGGACGAATGCAAGATATACTTCGGGGTAAACATGCACATTTAGGAAAAAAAATAAATCACTCATAATTGAAGACATGACCGTATTCAACTAGTCATTATGAATTATACAGTAAACACGTGACGCTTAAAATCGAATGTCGCGGAGAAGCCCTTGCTTGTGTTCAGTAGTTGCGTAGTTTACATGTATTGTGATATATTGTTTGACGCTTCTGACATTTATAGTCGAGGTAAGAATTCAGTGAAAATAATTGAAGCTCAATAGGAACAAATGTTTTGAAGTTAGCTCGATATATATATATATAATCAAATCACCAATTTGCATCAGTTTTGCTGATAGTTGTTCCATCTCCCCATTTCCAATTGCCTTCTGTCTCTGAATCACTTCCACTTGTCCAGTAATTTACGGTACCACTGAAAATAAAAATCTACTCACACTCTACTCGGTTAGAGATCGTCGATTCGCGCATACTACATAGACCGCAAGAGTATAAAAAAGCAAGCCTCCGAAATATTTTTGAAAAGAATTTCGCGTTTTAAAAGTATTGTGCAATTTCGTACTCACTAAATAGTTCTAACGCAAATTAAAAAAAATTATTCACACAACACGTGTTTTTCTCCTGTTCTCCGCGAAGAGGTTCAATTCATCAGAACAAAGGAAGAGGTAAATGCTATAAATTCGCACTTCATCAATTGCGTATAAATTTATACTCTATATCAGAGGTGAAAAAATCAAATGAAGATAAGTGCCAAAGTTTACAAAATAAAATTGTATCACGCCAATTTCGAACAGTTGTTGGTATTCCCTGAACACTCCTAACAATGAAATCGGATAAAACACACAACTAGAATTCGGTTGGAAACCGAAGACTTATCGATTGAAGGTTAGGGGATCCCCCAAATCAGTGGTCTTACTCCATAGGGACACCGTGTGTCCCATCACTAATTAATCAATACCTCGCTAATCATACGACATGATCTTTCCAAAATCAATGGGCTTCTGATCCGAGCTAAGATGAATGCAAAATTTGGAGCAGATTGAACCTCGCTTTCGTGAGATATCGCGTGCATCTAACACACAGACATACAGACAAATACCTATCAACATACTTACCGATCAAGATCGATAAGTAATAACAAATAACTATTTACTAAAAAAATTCAATATCTTGAAATACTAAAACACGTTTTTGATGGATCCAATTTGAAATGTTGGGCTTCGAAGAAGAATAAAGTGAATCTTTTTGTTTTGTCGCTGAGATTGGTTTATTACTTATCGATCTTAAGATCGGTAAGTATGTTGATAGATATTTGTCTGTCTGTGTGTTAGATGCACGCGATATCTCACGAAAGCGAGGTTGAATCTGCTCCAAATTCTGCATGTGCATTCATCATAGCTCGGATCAGAAGACTATTGATTTTGGATGGATTATGTCTTATAATAAGCGAGTTATTAATTAATTAGTAATTGGACACACGGTGTCATTATGGAGTAAGACCACTGTTTTTGGGATCCCCTAACCTTCTATCGATAAGTCTTCGGTTTCTAACCGATATTCTAGTTTTTTATATTGACAATGCCTGTTTACAACTTTACGTGATTGACACTTAACTAAAGTCCTAAGAAAACTAATGGTATAGTTCACTAATGTTCCCGGCAAAGATAAATGCATTGAATGTTACAATCAGTTTCATTTTGCTGCTGCTGATTTACCTTTGACCTCTTTCGAACAAAATATATGAGAGATTGTGTGCATATGAAACTGAACTCCAATCCGATATTAATAGTGATTTTATTGCTTACAGCCATTGACAGATGTTCAACATCTCCCTGTCTTAACTCGGGAACATGCATACAGATTGGTTGTCAAAGAAAGTGCAAATGCATGTGGGGTTTTACTGGAGAAAATTGTGAAGCAAGTAAGTTTTATCTTGATTTACTACTAAAAACCATCGTTCTGGCCGATCTAACAAAAACCAAGCAGAAGTTTATTCAGGAAATAAATTTTTTTTACGCTCCGAACTTTTAGAAGTTTCACTTGACTATAATCTTTTGTTGCAAGCGACCTAATCTTTTAGTGCGATTTTAGTGCAAAAAGATGGCGAGGATTTGCAAAATGTGGGAATACGGATAGTAATAGGGTTGTGTTTAAAAACAAGAGAGCTATGCTCAAATATATGGACACGTAGAGTCACATAATTTTGATGACGTCATAGCGAAAAAAAAAGTAATAGCCTTCTGGAGAAAATTTTTATCTTTAACCACTAAAAATTTCAAAGCAATTGGTCCAGTATTCGAAGAGAAAAGTGACTTTTTAAAAACGTGTCAAGCGGTACTGAGTTAGCAGTCAGGCAGCATCTTACCTGTACACTGTAGGCCATATAGATATACGGTAATTGATCACAGAACAGTTGTTCCCTTGCAAATTTTATGTTGTTTACACTTTAGGACAGATAATTGATCACAGAACAATTCTTCCCTTTCAAATTTTATGTTGTTTCCAGTAGACTCTCATCAAAATAAACAAATATAGTAGGCTACAAGTGCTACAACGCTTGCATTACTGCACTGGTAGGACCGTGAAAGAATAAGTTACGGTAATTTCATTGTGGTAAGACACCGGTACCGGCACCAGTACCAGTATCGTACTTACGTACTGAGCTACCAGTACCGGTTAGCAGTCAGCCAGCATCTTACCTGTACACTGTAGGCTATATACGGTAATTGATCACAGAACAGTGTTCCCTTGCAAATTTTATGTTGTTTACACTTTAGGACAGATAATTGATCACAGAACAATTCTTCCCTTTCAAATTTTATGTTGTTTCCAGTAGACTCTCATCAAAATAAACAAATATAGTAGGCTACAAGTGCTACAACGCTTGCATTACTGCACTGGTAGGACCGTGAAAGAATAAGTTACGGTAATTTTATTGTGGTAAGACACCGGTACCGGCACCAGTACCAGTATCGTACTTAGGTACTGAGCTACCAGTACCGGTACCGAACCTGTAGGTCTGATATTCCGTTCCGCATACGATAGGCTATAAAACTTGCATTGCAGCATTAGTAATACCGCGGAAGGAATAAGTCAATTTCAGTGCGTTACGTTACCGGTATGGCAACTTACCAGTACCGACCTACAGTAGCTGTAGTACTGAGCAAGACAATCGATCGCGAAACCGCTTGAAATAAGTGTAAAACAGTGTTCCCATGAGTAAAAATAAATACCGCGAAATTTTGTATGAAATATCATATCTCATAGGATTCATATAAAATTTAAGAATAAACAAAAGTAATAGCCTTCTAGCGAAAAAATTTATCTTTAACCACTGAAAATTTCAAAGCAATTGGTCCAGTATTCGAAGAGAAAAGCGACTTTTTAAAAACGTGTCAAAGAACAAGAACAAGAACAAGAACAACAACAACATAATATTGAAACGATCGTTATGTCCACTACGTGTCCAATAATCGAATTAATCGTCCGAAATTTGATAGCCTAGAAAATATCAATGAAATCTTTTATATAGTGTTTAGGAATAGTAGATGAAAAAACTCCTAAGAATAAGTACAATGATCATAAACACTTTTAAAGACATGAAATTACGTGTATTCTGTAATACAGGAATATCTCAGATTTCATGCTTCCAGTCCGAAATTTCAATCAAATGGAATCAAGAAAAGCACAAGTTTGGAAGTGTATACAAACTTCATTTGGAGGTGAATATTTTATATTTGAAAATGTCATTGTTTAGTATTTTTTTAACCGTATCAGAAACCCGAGATTGAAAAATTAATTTTTTACTTGTCTGGTTAGAGTACTTTACCATGAATTATTTTTCATTGTTATCCAGTTTTTGAATTCGTTGATAATAATGCCAAAACGTTTTTTAACGAACTTCATTATTACAGAAATAATTTATTCATTTACTCTTTTTGATAACCACTTTGTCGTAAAAACAATAATACTGGTAGCATGTTTTGGAACCATATGAACAAGACTTACATCTCTGAAATACGAGATGCATAATTATTGGTTTAAAAAATAGGTCAAGTGTCGCATGTTTGAGAAGTGATGTAAAATATAGTTGAGTTCAGTCAAAACTTTCTGTTCGCATTGAAGTCAATTCAATATTTTGACCCATTTTGGTGTTACGAATTGAATTTTCTTCAGGTAGTTCCTTATGTTCAGTTTATTTCTTAAATTATCATTATCACATTTGTCTCAATAAACATTAAAATATTCAAAGAAAAAAATCGATTCCCTCTTTGCTTATTAAAAATATTTAATATTTTTGTCTGGCATATGAAGAAGGTACATAACATAAATTTATTTAAAAAGTAGTCAATATTATTAACTTTAGTGAAAAACAAATTGGCATTGTCAAACACACAACAATCATCATTAGTAGCACAATTAATATTAATCAAATCATTTACACAGGATTTGATGTCTAAGACAAGCAAAGTAACAAACGTACAAATCTTGCTGACTAATGAACCATCAATAACTATCGGGAATGTGTCCGAACCGTCACCGATTCACTGCGTCTCAAGCACTCGGCTTTCCATATCACCCGATGAATATATCCTTGTGGATCTATGGGTAGCTCGGATTAGAATGTCTTTGAAATCCGTTGCTAAAGTTTATTACATCTTTGATGAATCGAAGTTCAAGCTCGAATTCGTTGATTTGGCGTAAAGTTAAACTTCTTTATAATTTCATTGAAACTCTCATGGGATTGTCATGCTGTTGTATGAACTCTTTTTTGACATTGTTGGACTATTGTTTACAAACTTGAATTTTTATCCTAGGTCACTCAAGCCACCGGCTGTGATCAAATGCACTAGAAGTTTTCCATTACATATTTTCTATCAATAATTCACCATCATACCCACGGGTATGTCACCTTCACAATCTCCCAAAAGATTTTCACAACGAAAGCAATTTTACTTTTATAAATCCATTTGAAGTGGGGAATACGGAATCTGGTGGTCAGATGTTTTTTTTTAATAATTTCCAATAATTGTATATCTCTAGATAGAGATGTTAGTTTGACAAATCGCTAAAACAATGGGGTACCATAAGCTAACCTTGGGTATCGCTGCTCGATAACCAGATTTAGTTCCCAACGGTTTTCCTATCCCAGTCAAATTGTGTAAATAATTTCTTTTTTGTAATTTGTGTAAAATTGATTTTTTTGGAAATAGCATTAGGAATTGTTGGAAAAATAAACTTGAGTTGACTTACAGTTCTAACACAAGTGAGCTCTAATGACGCATTTGGACCTTTTGAATCGAAATAATTGTGTCAACCGTACTATAGTACTTGCGGTACTACACTTCACAAAATCCACGATATCACGCGTAAATTAATATGAAACTAAGTTTTGATGAAAAAACTCGACATATGTACGGAAACACTGCAAATGACCACACACCCGTCATAAAGTCATCGTATAAACTTGCGATAAGATTGTCTAAGTAAGCCAACTAAACTGGTATGTTGTTCTGTAACTGTTAAAATCAAAAGATTTAACACTCATACATTGTTTCTGTATCCTGCCAGTCAGTGCCAGTACGTGATCCCAATTTACCATATTAACAGAATACCATAGTGTATTTATTCATAAGTAAATATTGCATGCATATTGCTTGCAAAACTCCTCATGAGTATAGATAGACACATATATTAAATTAAGATTTTGTCCTTAAACCACAACACTGACGCACGAACAACCAGAATGAGTGACCAATCGCTATATTTCGTGAAACACGAGAAACGAGATCACCAATTGGTTGAATAAAATCAAAATCTGGATAGTAGGGTTGTCCTCATTCTACGAAAATGGTTTGATCAAATTTCAATATATACAATAAGGTGTATTTACTTTGTTATTAAGTGGCGAGGCAGGAAAGACCGAAAATTATTCAGTAAGTATTAATTCTATTGAGGGATTGAAACTCGAGAAAAATTACTCCGAGCTGTCAATCATTTGAAAAATTGCAGATTAGGGATGGTGCAGATTGCTGGCAAAATATAGAGACTACCATTAATCTATTTATTCTATTGTTTCTTGATAATTGAAGTTTATTGCAATTATCTTTTGTAATAAGAAAAATGTAACTTGTAAGTCGTCCATTCATCTTGATATACCAATAAAACATGATATATCATGTATCTTTATATCCGGACCAAAATAAATTCTCGTTTTTTTATCGTATCGACGACGTTCTGACAAACTTCCATTTAATTTATCATAATAATATAACTTTAATTGCATTGCATATTTATTGAATGTGTAGTACAATATATTGTGCAGGAAAGCACATAGAAGCATATGTATATACAACTCATATTTCCTTTTACACCACCCACATTGGTACTGCTTATTGCGTTGACATCCTTTACAAAAGGTTATTGTATGAGTAGTCGTATAAGTAAAAAGTCAGTACAGTTGATGAATCTTGTAACTTATATTCGCCAACATTTCCAGAACTATGTATTACGAAAGTTTGCTGCAGTGTCCCATTTTTGTAGGATTTTGTGATGGAACTGCTGATTAAAATTTACCTTTTTATCTTGAGGGACTATTAACTGCAATTGCCTATAGCCAGAAAGGAAGAAAAATAACTATGTCTAAGAAAGCTCGCGTTTCCATTGAAAATAACTTTAATCATGAAAATAACATTTCGCATAGGAAACAAAAATTTTTGAAAGTTTGTAAAAGTGAAAATTGTCTAAAGCCGACTCAAATGCTTCACACTAATTATAGGATAATTATATAAGAATAGCAATATTCATCTGAATCCCTTTTATACGCTTACAAATTCATGCCACCATTATCTCGGCGATCGAAAGTTGCAGATAACTTACGGAGTCGTATATATGTCGTGACATTGGGTTTTATCATCCCGAACTAACAGATAAACGATATGATACATTACTTTACCGAGAATTACTTTACCGTGGTCTTGAAAACCTACATTGAATGATTTAGAGCAGTGTTTCCCAACCCGATTCCGCGGTCTCAAATGAGACAGTCCGCGGACCGTTTCATAAGTCCACGGCGAGAAATACCGTTTTACAAAGTTATGTAGTAGTATATTTCATGTGAGTCACTAACCTTTTTAGTGTCGCAAAATTCATTGCGGGACGTTTTTGTTTTACCAGACCTAAGTACCGCTTCCCCGAAAATAAGTCTGGGTCTTATTTCAATTTTCTTCCGAAATAGAACACATTGTTCTTGGGGGGGGGGGGGGGCGTCTTATATTTACATTCATCAAAAACAAAATTATAAAGTAGAGAATTAGGAGATTTTCAAATATATAAAAATATGAAAAGCGATATCCATTACACGGTTTTAGTCAAAATAACTGCAAAACATAGATTATCAATCATTCAAAACGTGTAGGAGAGATTTCTTGTTATCGACTAAGTCAAAAAAAAAAAATAATAATGCGCGCTATTGACTAGGTCATGTTTTAAGACGAGGGCTTATATTTGAATCATTTTTAAAATTCAAACTACGTCTTATTTTCGGGGAAACACGGTACCAGCCAAGTTACGATTAACGTTAGTAATAACGTAAAACATAAAAAGCAAGTTTTTTACATGAAAATTATTCGTGTCAAAAAGGAACGATTACTAGGTAGAGCTGGGCAAAATATTCGAAGAGCAAACTATACCTGGTAACATGCGACTTGGCACGGCACGTCAATCGCGCCTCACTGAATTAAACGATTGAATTGCACAACGCTCTTGCGGATTTCTGACAAAAACACGAGTCGCATTTATAGGCATCATTGAAATTGTCACACAATTGAACATTTGGGATATGTTGTGTGTAATATCTTCCAGAATTTCGTGTTTTTAATACATACCTTCTGAAATTGTCGGATGGTTGACATTTTGTGACATATTGTTTGTAACGCTTCTCAATATTATTGGCATTCCAAAATATCATTTTGCATTTACATGACACACTTATGTAGTTGAGTAGGTGACGATTTGCCATATATTTTCTGTATTGTTTTCAAATATGGTTGAAACATTTTGTTTTATACCAATTGGCACTCTTAAGTAATCGGATAGGTGGACATTTGAGATATACATTTTGTGTAATGTTTCTATATATGATTTCAGAATTTTGTTTCAATTGTTGTATGCCACACTTGGGTGGACATTTAAGATATACATTTTGTGTAATGTTTCTATATATGATTTCAGAATTTTGTTTCAATTGTTGTATGCCACACTTGGGTGGACATTTAGATATACATTTTGTGTAATGTTTCTCAATATAATTTCAGAATATTGTTTCAATTGCTGTATGCCACACTTAGGTGGTCTGATATGAGGACATTTGAGATATATACTTTGCGTAATGTTCCTCAATATGATTTCAGAATTTTCATTTCAATTTTTGTATGTCACACTTAGGTGGACATTTGAGATATACTTTTTGTAATGTTTCCTAATATGATTCCAGAATTTTATTTCAATTGTTGTATGCCACACTTAAATGACCGGATAGGTGGACATTTGGGATATACCTCGTGCAATGTTTCTTAATATGATTTCAGTGTTTTTATTTTAGATGTTGTATGCCACACTTAGGTGGCCGGATAGGTTGACATTTGAAATATACTTTGTGTAATGTTTTTCGATATAATTTCAGAATTTTAATTTTAATTTTTGTTGCCACACTTAGGTGGCCGGATAGGTGGACAATTGAGATTATTGATTGACATTGGATATCTCCCTTGTACGACAGACTGAATATTGAAAAAAAAATGCTTTTTTCTATGATAAATATTGCTGAATGGTACAAATCCATCGGAAATTAAAGCGAGGTCATACACTTTAAAATGTGTAGTACTAACATGAATACCCGTTTACATTTAGAGATGTCAAATAAACATTTGCTACTATTAACAATTTCCGCGAATGAATAAGTATTTGTTATGCACTGAAAAGTTATTATTTTCAAAAGCAACATCATTTATGTAGACATTACATATAAAGTGACATATAAAAGAGGTCCGGCTTAGTGGCGAAATAGGCTAAAACACTTGGTGGTCTGAGTTAGGTGGACGAATTGAACGGACAAAAATTGTATATCTGTTATCGAGAGGATTGTGTTGACTCTTTTTCTTCTTAGTTGTCAATGATACTGACACAGGAACGACGTCCGAATATAGTACATGAATATAGTACACAATGAAGCGTTATTATATACTCGAACAAAGACCCCATCTACAAGGTAGTATATTTACAAGTACACTGAAAACCATTTATGTTTATACAACCAGAGGTCGTAATTATTAACCATTCAAAGTATTCTAAACGTGGGATCAAATATCAAAACTTTACCAGCTATATATATAAGCATCAATATGTGTTGGTGCTCTGTTATTGCGCATCTATGTTAGTGCAAGTAATTTTCTTATGGCTTTATTATAACTCATCATAATCAATTGTGTCTCATGGCTAGCCGGTCTATGTACTTGCTTACTTACAATTGGAGAAAATACTGTTCCAGAGAGTTTCATGAGTTTTAATGGTGAATGCGATATAACGTGTAACCATAAAAAGAAATGAAATGTTTTCATCGTTATAGTTCTGATGTTTTTTTTAGTGCAGCAATAAGTCAACTGCTGATTTGCCTCCTATGTATAAATTCAAATTAGTGAAATTAT